GATAACTCGTTCTAGAACATTTTCACAAAATCAATCACGCTAATCTTAGAGCCCATCAATCTTTATTAAATCGTCCATCAATCGTTTTAATAGTAGCTTTAAATCACATCATCGTTAAGTCATGATAAACAACAATTTTATTAGAGCGTCCAGAAAAATCAAGATGGAGGTGTACCGCAGTGCAGTATGGGAAACTAGCAAAAATAAACGGTGTGATTACAAAATCCATATGCGCTTTTGATGGAGCTCAAATATCAAAGAATAAAAAAACATATCCAACGAATGAACGTAAGACGGCAAAAAAAACATCTCTTTTTTATGATGGAACCTTATATGCCTCGTGCAGCTAGGTTTGCCGGTGTTTATGCTCCATTATTTAACATACTCCACATTTAGTTTATTCATGTCACCCTTCGTTCACATTTTTCCATTTCAACAACCTTTCATTATTCCCACAGTAGAGGTCGTTTCTTATTTCTCAATGATCGTTCGATTGTCATTTGCATTTTATGATGTTATATAAGGATGTTATTTCTTTTCCTTTTTTTTAATATTTATGTTTCGCAGTATAATTAATACTGTTACTATCGAAAGCTATTGTACCTCCTAAAAAATCCGCACGAATTTAAGGCGATCAAGCGTTCTAGAATGCTAAAATTCCCTTAAATGAGTTTCCCAAGCTGATTTGACCGGAGCCTTTGAATACAATCGAGTAAGTAATAGAGAATGTCTTTACGTATCCTCTCTATAGAGATCCCTTTAAATTCTCTGCAGGGGTTTATGTTCTAGATCAATCTATCATAACTTTTTTCGCTGCCTTAAATGTCTCACATGATTTCATTGCAATGCCGAAAATGCTTTGTCGAAATGCTAAACTATGAAATGGCATCGCTCCCAAAAAAAACGATTTGACTAGAGAATCATTATTGCTAAAGAATTAGGCCATCTATATTCAAAGAAGTCGACCTCRAAGGAGACTGCGAGCCTACAATAACAAACTTTTAATTAAATGGTCAAAACAATATTTTCGATGAAAATTTAGATAACCAATTTCAACGTCTCATCTTCGTAGCCCGCATATGAATAGCTCGCCTGTAATAAGACTTCAAAGATACCAATTAAGATAACATAACTTGGAATATACTATCGAAACTCTCATCTTAATAACTCTACAATCATTGTGCGAAACATTTCCTCATTGCCACTGCACATGCGCATAACTTTTAGTTTTCATRGCTGCTTGATCAATCACATAGCTCGAACAGCCGTCACCTGCAATGCACAAAATGCATGAGGCTACAGGTTAAATACAGTGTCTAAATATAGAATCAGTACTGACTAGTAGAGTCCATATCACGACAGACATTCAATAGATAGTTCTCTTGTGTCACCGCAAGAACTGTTACATATTCGACGCAAAGCCGATTGATGTCTACGTTCAAACAGTTAGTCCATGTCTATACTTCAAGCGCTAATAATATGTATCTTTTTCATTTTTCTTGGAACTAAATGTCGCCGCATATTCGGGTATACTGGGCTTGATTTTAAGCTGAATTATTAGTGGTTTTTATTCATTCATAGGTTAACATAGTCAAGAAACAAAGAAATACTTACTAGCCAACCTCAAGCTGTTCACAATAACTTAAGTTGGAGGTAAGAACACGAAAAAGTTATCCTTAATACAATAACTCAATACATGTCAGGTTTTCCAAATTGAAATTAATATCATTTGAAATTATGGGTCCTCGAATAATCAACAAGAAAATAAAAAAATATTGTAAATCATCAAGGATGAACGAAAATTGTATTATTTTTTTTTCAAAATTTATTCAAATAGTATTTTATAGACCTCACCTACACTTTGGACATGTCGTGCAAAACATTTCAGATATAATTTTTATCGAGATCCTTAACTGTAAATTATCTTTTCATCAAAGTGATTTTCAAGACTAGCACCCAGTCATAGCTCTTTTTCGCGGTACGCTTTGTGTTATATAGCTTTTTAGCAATTGAAAAAAATTCTCTYTATCGAGAAGTGAAATCAACTACTTTTAGTGAAGAAAAATACACTGAATAACGCAGTGAGATGTCTTTTTGTTTTGCATTTTTCAGTCAGCTTGGGGGTCAATTTATTTACAGCACTGTTTACATCTGCCGAATTCAAATTGCTATGTTGAGACAGTAGTACAGTTTTTATAAMAGGTTTCATTTCCAAAGCGAAAATGATMCGTGATCACTGTTACGTATGAACAAATCKTCCCTTTGAAATAGAAGTAAAATTGATATAAGTGAATGAAAAAGTATGCAAGCACGTTTTGAAGACGCGTTCCATTAAGAGTACTAGCAATTTATGTATAGTCCAAACACTGTTGTTTGGTACTGCTGAGAAATTGAGAGTTGATGTGTTCGCTTTCGATTAGCATCCTGCCGAACTTAGAGCAATTAGTGGGGCTCAAGTTTCGTTCAAAACTATGTTGATGTCGTTTATATCTTCAAAAACGTGAAATGTGCCTTTAGGAACTCGAATTCTGGTAAAGGTAGCCATAAATTATTCTTTCTTTTAAAAGCATTGTAGRCTCTTAGAGAGGTATACTAGGAAACCAAAGGCACACAGGAGGTCTAGAATTTCACATTACAATCTTTATCATTGTCACGATATGATAGCACATCAGAAATGAAACACAAATGAGAAAATGAAAAGCAGAAATGCAAACACTGCTGTTCTTATTGAATAGTAAAGAAAGCATAAAGATGACATTGAATGACATGGTATTTTGTTTAATTTATATGTCTCCCAGAGTCGATTAATGATTTATTGTTATCGATGTCTWGGTGACTGACAGTTTTGATTGGCCTTTTGAACTTTTCGTTAGACTTTAATTGCTACAGATTATAATTTTGAAAACCTGTTTTTTAACAAATACAAAGACTTCTTGTAACAAACTGCAGACCACATTGGTTCCTTATGGTGATGCGCACATGTTGCCACGCCCTTCACTAAGAGTTAACAGTTATTTTCTTTGGAAGCAGGAATAATATAGTTAATTTCCGTTCGACAGCAAACCATCGTAGATCTTCTAAGTAGTTCGTAAATATTTAGAGCAAATCGACAGAACACACGCCAGGATGGGGCAGTGAAAGATAAGCTCGATCCGTTTGTGCCACCATAAGTAGTCTTTTGCGTGGTATGTTGAATGATAAGCTTGTATAATTTATTAATTATATTAGATATAGATATTTATGTTTCTGGAATTATTGATTAGGTTTGTTCCAATTAATTCTATTTTCAATTATCGTTTGATTAACAAAAAATATATAGGAGAAATATATACATCTGCAGGGCCGGGTTGTTAAAAGCCCGATTAACGCTAATCCTCAGTTAACTCTTAGAAAACCTATGCAGTTAACCCTGGATTAACGCTAATCGGGCTTTGAACAACCCGGCCCTGRACATAACAATGTTTAACCGGCTCCTATAGGTAAGATAGATATCTTTTTTTCCGTAACATTTTAGCCCCAAGTGTACACTACAGCTGACCAGGAGAAAATCCCCTGGAGTAAAAGTGCCCGTGAGGTAATTAACCCGTGTCGGTACTGACATTAATGTCGTGATGRAAACGTGCAATATTGTTTGCATTTATTACCAACACTGAGATCTAATGGCTGATTGAAGCACGAAATCGGGAGGTAATTGTTGGGCAGTACTTATCATTAAAACCTCATATCGGAAAAACAGATAGAAATAGTCCTTCTAAAAACCCCAATATAATTGATTGAGACGCCCAATCGACTTTGGCTATATAATGAATTAACACTATTAGATCTGTATCTATGAATTATAATCATAAATAGCATAATATATGATGTCTCAGACGGTAGGTGCGCTTCTAGTGTTTTCTTTTTACAAATAGTGCTTCACTTTGTCATTTTATTAATTGATTTATTGTTGTATTTGTACAACTTTGCTAAAAAAACATTTGTCCAAAACATTTAAAAATTAAAA